GAGAGAGAGAGAGAGAGAGAGAGAGAGAGAGAGAGAGAGAGAGAGAGAAGATGGCGGCAGGGAAGGGTCAAAAGTGGCTGGGATGGGTGTGGTTAGTTCTTAAAGTGTCCCAATGGAATAACAGTCATGTTATCTGTCTGAGTTCCAAAAGTGTGTATTAACACGCTTCCCTTTGAGAATCTCCTCCCGAACTGGAACAGATTAATCTGCTTATCCCTATGTTTTTCTCAGGGCACAGTGAGAGTGATGTGGCATAAATACCTGAGGCACTGATAAATATAAAATTAATTATGGTTTTGGGAAGGCCAAGGTTCGGGTTCAAAAAGAAACAACGGGAAAAGTCATCCGTAGGAAAAGAATGAGGTCTTCTATCACTTCTTACTTCAGGAAGCTTTGTTGGCCCACTATCAGTCTGGAAGCTCAATTTTTAAAAAATTAAATTTAAATTTAAAAGCAATCCAGTCACAAAAAATTTGAAGGAAAAAACAGTACAGAAAGCCCACTTCCCTCTTAGTCTCTCAAATACAACTGTTGATTTTGTGCACACTTCAAGGACAACATAGCCTTAGAGACTGTCACAGACACGTCCGTTCCATTGTTTGCCTCCGTTCCATAAGGGGTGCCCTGCAAATACCAATCCACACCTCACCTTCTCTCTCTCACCCTTTGCATACATGAAGCTTCACTTCACCACTAATGGTATCATTGTACAATTCCACAGCCATAATCATGTCTGATGCTTCCCTGTGCAGACAGTGATAAATGACAGACAGCTTTCAAAAAACTATCTTCCTGTGGTTTCCTTAAGGTAATTTCCCAACAGCCGAAATGTGGGTTTGGGAGCACGTGATTCTTAAAAACCCTAACTTTTCCCCTTTGGCCGTAGGGGAGGAAACTAATTAATAGTTAGATTTCGGTACTCCTACTTCCCTTTTTTGGCTGAAGATGCACTCTTGTGTTTTAGAAGAGCAGTTTCCCAGATATTCTCACTGGACCTGGTGAGAGCTGTGTACTGGCTACTGTGAGAGCAAGAGCCAGCTTGCTACCTGTGAGGAAATGCCTCCGGCAGTCTCTCCCTGGGTGGTCTTCACGCTGCTGTGGCTGACTCCACCGGTTGTGAGTGAGTAGACACTGTGGGTCTGGAGTGGGTCGGGCAGCATCTCCCCCACCACAGGCCTGGTTGTCTCCTGCATTTCAGAACCACAGAGTTCCCCCATGTGAGGCTATATTCCCCAACTTTCTACACCCAGGTGGAAAATCCTTCAGCCGGCAGGGGAAGAACTGCGACAACAGCAATGAGCAAAGTTTCACTTGGTTTTCTTTTCTTTCACGGATGCTTTGTGAAGAACAGAAAGTGACTTGCGCTTGCTTGTTCACACTCACATGAGAGCTTCATTTTAACGCCTTCTGTGACAGGCTAGTCCTGGTCTTGTGCATGAGCTGACAAGGGGATTCACATAAAGGACAGCTCCGTCTGCACATCCATGCCAACCAGAGATGGACTGGGCACAAAGAGAACGCTGTGGAAGTCAGAGGTGGCCACTTGGGAAATCAGGAAAGGGAGGGCACCTACAGTGGGTGGCAATGTCACTGCCCATGAATATACATTTCTGTCAGTTCATACCTTCAAAGTATTTGCTTTTTACTAAGTTTTAAATATTAGAATTAAATGTGGGTCCACCTAGTAAAAAAAAAATCTTAGACCCCTCTATGTGCAGCATTTTACGCAATGCTGAAGATGGTGGGATGTTTCATGCCCACAATGATAGCAAGAGCTTTCAGCAAAGCAAGGGTGGAGGGGTTGAGAAACAGCTGGGAAATGTAATTCCAGTTAAACAAAATTCCAGTGGATGGCAGAGACAGGCAAGTAGCTACACACAAATCAGCTGGTAAATAGCTCCTGAAACACAGGGGCTGGGGGGTGGATGGGGCAAGGACCCCACTGCTGCAATGAACTGTTATCTCAGAAACAGAAGCACATGCAGGGGTGGCACAAGAGGGCCAGGAGAGGCGAGGGTAGAAGAAAGAAGGGGAGGGGAGGAGAGTGTCAATATGGTGCACAGGGATGCGGGGTCCGAGTTTGGATTCAAAACTGTGTTACTACCTACTAGCCACTTAACCATATTGCTTGCTTGCTCCCTTACTCCCTCACTCCTTCCATTCTTTACTTCCTTCTCTTCTTCCTTCTTTTTTTCTTTATGGAAAATGGATTCTTTTCTCACATATTGTAACCTGATTACGATGCCCCCTTCCTATATTCCTCCCAGTTCCACCCCCATCTCCCCTACATGCAAATCCACTCTCTTTCTGATTCTCATTAGAAAAGAACAGGCTTCTGAGAGATAATGATAAAGTATCATAAAATAAAATACAATAAGATAAAACAAAAGCTATTACATTGAAGTTGAACAAGACAGAGCAACAGAAGATAAGACCCAAGAGAAGGCGCAAGAATCAAAGACCCACTCATTCTCACGCTCAGGAATTCCAATGAAAACACTAAACTGGAAGCAATAATATATACTCAGAAGACTTACACCAGTGTAGCCCCGTGCAGGCCCTGTGCATGCTGCCTCGGTCTCTATGAGTTCATATGAGCTCTGCTCATGTTGACGCAGAGGGCCTTATTTTCTTGGTGTCCTCCATCCCCTCTGGCTCTTACACTCCTTCTGCCTCCTTTTCTGCAGGGTTCCCTGAGTTCTGGGAGGAGGAATTTAAAACAGACATCCTATTTAGGGCTGAGTGTTCCAAAGTCTGTCTCTCTCTCTCTATCTCTATCTCTCTCTCTCTCTCTCTCTCTCTCTCTCTCTCTCTCTCTCTCTCGTCAGCTCGTCAGGCTGTGGGTCTCTGTATTTGTTCCCATCTACTGCAGGAAGAAGCTTCTCTGATGATGGCTGAACATGCACTGATCTATGAGGATGGCAGATTATCACTTAATCACTATATATATATTAAGGCCAGTAGTATTGGTTTTCGGTCTCTGGACTATCTAGTCTCTGGTTCTTGGTCACCCGTGAAGTGCAGTGTTGGGTATGGGTTCCATCTCATGGAATGGGCCTTAAGTCAAATCAGTTATTGGTTCATTACTTACACAAGTTTTGTGCCACCATTGCCCTAGCCTGTCTTTCAAGCAAGACACCACTGTGTATCAGAAGGTTTGTGGATGGCTTGGATTACAGTGTGCAGGGTACCTTCTTTTACCAAAGATGCTACATAGGAGTAAAGGCTCTGTAAGCACCAGTTCAACATCTCAATGTTCAATGAGTTGTGTGGGTACTGTCTTCATCAATGGGGCCTTGCTGCCAGATTGTGGAAAGCAACCTATAGTCTTGTCAGCAGCCTGAATTATTTGGAGATTCCCATGGATCCCTTTGTCCAGCAACTCAATTAGATATAACCCAGGCCTAGTAGTAGAAGCTTTGCTTGGTGACAAAAGATGGCCTGTGGGATGCTGTCTCCCCCATTAATTAGTAATTTCATTTAGACTGTCTCCATATATGTATATATTTTAGGAAGCTTCTACTGCATTAGTTTCTCATACTACCCCTTAAATGCCATTTAATTGTCTCACCCTGTATTCCCTCCTATCAACCTCCTCCCCTTCCCTCTCCCCACTTGATCCTCCCATTCCTGCCCCCTTCCGTCCATTCATCCATAATTATACATTCTATTTCCCTTTCCTAATGAAATCTATCTGTAGCCTCTAGTCCCTTACTCTATACCTAAACACTGTGGTTCTACAGATCATAGCATGGTTATCATTGACTTAATAGTTAATATCCACATATTAATGAGTACATACTCACTCAAAATGATTTTTTTCTAGTTTTCTCCATTTGTCTGCAAATTTCATTGTGTGTTTTGTTTTATTTTGGTTTTGTTCTTGTTTTAAACGGATGAATAATACTTCATCGTGTAAATGTACTACATTTTCTTTATCCATTCTTCTATTGAGGATTTTCTAGATTGTTTCAAATTTCTGGATATTTTGAATAGAGCAGCAGTGAACATGATTGAGCAAGTGTTTTTGTGGAGGATGAAGCATCCTTTGGGTGTATGCCCAAGAGTGGTATAACTAACCGGGTAGCAGAGTAAATTGATTCATATCTTCCTAAGGAAGAGCCACACTGATTTCCACAGCAGCTCTGCAAGCTTGTACTCCCACCATCAATGAATGAGTCTTCTGCTTATTTAACATCCTCACCAGCATGAGCTGTCAGTTGCTTTATTGATCTTGGCCATTCCAACAGGTGTAAGATGGACTCCCAGAGTAGTTTTGGTTTGCATTTCCCCGATGGCTAAAGATGTTAGACATTTCTTTAAGCTAAACAACTTTCTTATCTATGAAATGGCACTTAAGTTATAATGTTACTGGCAAGACTATATAAAATGATACGTGTAATTGCATACCAAGTAGAAAGTCCTCAAATACAAAAACTATCGTGACCATGGCATGTGGGTAATGGCGACTACTCACTTGGTCTCAATAAAATACTAGGGCTTAAGTTGCCCTTCCATCATCTCCAAGGAGACAGATGATGTGTCTGTCACTCACAGATAGATTTTCATTGCATTGTCCAATAAATGACTGACATTACAGAAAATTCTTTCAAGTGAAAGAATCAAATCCATCCTTTCTCTGGATCATTTATAAATTAATAAACCTGCTAAGTTTTGCCACCTTTCTCTCCTTGTTACTCCCATCTCCAACCTGACCTGTTTCTACTATCACTACCCTCATTTGTTTGTGTGTTTGTTTGTTTGTTTAACTGAGTCATTATTCAAAAAAATCTCATAGCTCTTCCATTCCACAGCAGGCCTTCTGATGGAGAGCAGGCCTACAAATGAGCAGTAAGCATGCACACAATTCAAATAAACCTGGATAAATACTCTAAAGAAAGTTAACCTTTGCATCACCCAGCTACTGTCTTTCACATCCTCTCTGCAGAAGATTTCTCTCTGCCAGAACACTCCATCAAAGCTTCAAGTTCTGACTTCATCACATTCCTTGAGCTCTTTCTATGGTTCCCCATGGCTTCTACGAGAAAACTGGAGCTAATCACGTGGCCCTGCCTTCCTCCCCAACTATATTTCTCTCGTCACTGCTCACCGGCCAGAGCTGCTCCGTCCACTTCTGAGCACAACACCCTTTCTTCTGTGCCTCTCTTGCCTTGGTCACCCTCTCTGTGCTCTTAGGCCAGACATAAGCATCAACCTTCACTTGGATGGTTCCTGTGTTCTTGGTCATAATTTCCTTTGCTATTACTGCACCTCCCTTCCGTATTATACTTGTTGCCAGAAAGTAGCACTTTTAAATTTATCTTTAAAGTTCAAGGGCAATATCTTCATATATACAGACATATGACAAACAGTTGTCAGCATTTTTATAGATGAATTCTTCATGAGAAGTAGTATAATGGATATGGAAAGATATTATCTTTTTGAATAAGAAAAACAAAGTTCTTACTTGTACTTTCATGTCTAACTCTTGACTTCTATTGTTATTTATTTTTGTTTCCAGCTCCTGTCAGTAGACAATATGGTGAGTCCTTTCTTCTGCTTTGTGAGTCCTTGGTAAGAGTTTCTTCCTAATGTCTCATATTTTCCAGCTAATGATGATGGGTTTTAGTGAAATCATCTTCTATGAAACAAGGCAGTTAAGTGCACTGATCTCTAGGGTTTTTCTAGTGTCAAAACCTGATCATAAAATTACTTTTTTTCTTTAGGGAAAGTGCAAAGTTGTGATTTTGATGATTCTGTAGTTCTTTTGGGGCTTATGAATGATGAGATGGCAAAGGAAGAGGTATTTTATTAGGACCCTCTTCCAGAACAGACTAGTTAGCCACTGACATTACAGTAAACCCTGCTATCTCTGCCCTCAGAGACTGTCTTGCCCGGTTGCCATCAATGGGCAATCACTCTTCTCTTTGGGTGGTAAGTGCTCCTGGATGTTAAGCAGCCTTCGGTCAGTGAACTTGGGGGATAGGGCTCCTGGGAATGACCCAAAGCCAGGTCCTCCCTGTCTATCCCACAGGGCCATCAATGAACTTGGGAAGCACGTGGATCCTGGGAATGGTCCAAATCTAGGTCCTCCCTGTCTATCCCACAGGGCCTTTCTGGGGCTGAAAGTGTGACTTCTCTGCTACAGACCAATTTTCTCTCATCCTCAGAAACTGCACCCAAATCTGTGATTTCTCTTGAGCCTCCATGGACCACTTTCTTTCAAGGAGAAACAGTGACTCTGACTTGCTATGGATTTGGCTTCAACTTACCTCAGAAAACAAAATGGTACTGGAATAGCAAAATAGTAGGAGAAATTCAAGGACACACCTTCAAAGTGCGCATGTCTGGAGTGCACCAATGCCAGGCCGACAACTTACATCTAAGCATCCCTGTGCACTTACACTTTTCTAAAGGTGAGGCAAAGAGAAATAAAGCTTCAGACTCCATTTCAGTCTAATTTTCTCTGTAGATTTAATTACTACTCAGCACAAATGAACAACCCATTCGATTTCATGCCATGAAAACGTAATCTCTGTGTAAAATCAGATATAGAACAGAATTATCTTAAATTTAAACCAAAAAAAAATAAAATTTAAATGTAGTAAAAAATACCATCTAGTAGGCATCTAGTAGGCAGTAGGCAGTAAGAAGTACATACATAAGGTATAATTGTTACTAACAGTTAATTTAGTTCAAGATGAGTCAAATACATCCACCCACTTCTATCCCTTTGGTCCTTAAAATTTGGCCTGAATCAGAATCTTTGTGACTACACAGAGACTTGAGACTTATCCTGTATTTACAGACTCAAAACTTGGGGTTTTTTTAAGGTTTATTTATTTATTATGCATAGAATGTCCTGCTGGCATGTGTGCCTACATGACAGAAGAGGGCACCAGATCTCATTATAGATGGTTGTGAGCTACCATGTGGTTGCTGGGAATTGAACTCAGGACCTTTGGAAGAGTAGGCAATGCTCTTAACCTCTCAGTATCTCTCCAGTCCAAAACTTGATATTCTTGAACCCCAAGAATATGTAGTGTTTATAAACTGCCCGTGGATAAGCAATAAAACTATTTAAATGTTAAACAGAAATAAATTGATTGATTTTTTTTAATAGATACACAAAGAGAGGAAGGGGGTCAGGGAGGGAGGCATTTTCTCTTTTGGTCTTGAAACCTCCTGATCTGAAGTTGAAGTAGTGTCAGCCTTGTGACAATTGCCTTTGATTTAGTAAGCAAGAAAAGACACTATTAGCAAGGAAAGGGGGGGGGAAATCTATGCTTTTTGGTCTAATGATTCCCTTGAACACTTCCTACTGAAGCATACAAATCTACACACCCCAAAATGAAGGACCCTAAATGGACAGAAAACCTTATTAAATTATATTGCTGGTATAGAGGAAAAACTATGGCTACTGGAAATCAGTTTGCATCTTGAGAAAGTACTGGCCAAATAAACTAGCAAGTAGATACAGATTATTAAAATCCCCAAAGAGAAAAAAAAACATACAGAAACTCTGGTACACCGACGTGGGAGAAGGAACTAGAAAATTGCATTCCCAATGGTGATGGAAGCTTTTTCTTCTGCTGTCCCGCTTTTATCAAACTGCAGGTATGTATTTGAAACTCAGAAAAAGAACTAAGAACACTTTCTCTAGTTCCACTTCGTGTAAAACCTACTTGGGCAGTAATGAAAAGGGAGAATGAAAAAGTGATGGCCTGGTATGTTTCACAGATCCATTAGTGCTTCGAGGTCCACCTGCTGTATTTGAGGGAGATTCTGTGGTTCTGAGGTGCCATGCAAAGAAAGGGACATCACGAAAGACCCTGACATTTTACAAGAATGGTGTCCCTCTGGAATCATCTGGTCAAAGTTCTGAGCTTGCTATTCAGCATGCAGATCAGAGGGCCAACGGTCAATACCGCTGCACTGTGAAGGAGACGTTTTGGTCCAAAATTTCTTCCAATACAGTCAGAGTCCATGTCCAAGGTACAACTTTAACTATTCTGAACAGATTATTAGTCATAGGTAGGCTCTCTGCGTTTGTAGAGGCAGAATAGGAAGGAAGAGTGGACTAGAAATCCACTGAGAGAAAACAGTCTTTTGGATGTTGGTAACCAAAAGCGGCACCTCTCTCTTGCCAGCGTTTGGTGAGCAACGCCACTCCACATGCTGGTGCTGAGGATGGATTGGGGTTTTCTGAAGAATACTTAACTGTAGTGTAATGTTTTACTTTTTTGGCTTTTTGGGAGATCCACCACCAAGTTCCCAAATAAATCACTCATGGAGGCTTATTCTTAGTTATGAATGTCCAGCCTTAGTTTGTCTTGTTTCTTGCCAGTTTTTCTTAACTTAAATTATCCCATCTAGTTTTGGCCTCTGGGCTTTTATCTTTCTCTGTCCCTGTATACCTCTTCTCTCCTTCTTACTCCGTGCCTGGCTATGTAGCTGTGTAGTTGGGTGGCTGGCCCCCGAAGTCCTCCTTCTTCTCTATCATTCCCAGATCTCTGCTCCAAAATTTCTCCTCATATTTCTCCTCTCTGCCTGCCAATCCCACCTATTCCTCTCTCCTTTCTCCTATTTCTTTCCCTTACCCTTGCTCCTGCCTCGCTATTGGCCATTCAGCTCTTTATTAGACCATCAGGTATTTTAGACTGGCACAGTTTCACACAGTTAAACAAATGCAACATAGGCAAAAATAACACGCCTTAAAATCATTCCCCAACACATACCTGCTCAGTGGATGATTTTGATCCTTTCTAGAATTATTCCCACGTCCTGTGCTGATGGTCAGACCGTCTGAGCTCACAGACGGAAGCCCGGTGACACTGACCTGCCGGACTCAGCTCCCTGCACAGAAGTCAAATGCCCAGCTCCAGTTCTGTTTCTTCAGAGACCTCCAGGCTCTGGGGTCAGGCTGCCGCAGCTCTCCAGAGTTTCACATTCCTGCCATATGGACTGAAGATGTAATGCCGTACCAGTGCACTGCAGAAACAATGGATGCCCAAGTAAGCAAACGAAGCCTGCCAATCAAAATGACTGTGCAGAGTGAGTATCATTCTGAGATTTCCCAGGTATGGACTGGAAGTTATGCAGAAGGGCACACCAGTTTGGGTCACGAGTCTCTATAGAAAGTATTTACTCATGCTTGTGGAAGTTGAATGAGGAAAAAATATGAAACTCATGTGGATATCCTTGATGATCTTTGAACCATGAAAAGAAGGGGGGGTTGTTTTTTGGTCTCTTGATGCCTTTAAATAAAGCTACTTCTTAATCTCCCGGACATGTTTTTTTCCCAGTGCTATAGTCCTAAACTGTGAGCTATGGGGCAGCCTGGGATGAATGTTCTGCTCGGTCAAACAGGTTTCTAGAACACTAGGTCCCTGATACAGGATGCTTAAAGGCAACAAAGACAAAGAATGGTCTTGACAAATAAATAGTTCCACCTTGATGCCCTTAGAGATGGCGCTATACACACTATCACTTTTCCCTAAGGCTCTAAAGTAGCATCACTTTCTTAAACATGACTGTCAGCCAGTGACTGCCTGACTGAATTTGGTCCAACACACAGAAATCTAGTTGAGCATAATAGGGGGCACATGGTCTAGGATATCACGAGTGTGGAGGGAAGGAAAGTGACAGCATTACCTGTGAATTCACTCCCATTCCTAAAAAAAACCCTATCGATCTGTTCATGGCTGTTCATGACTGTAGGAAATGGGTGTTCCCGTGGCTACTGAAGGATGGACAGGTCAGAGAAATCAGAGGGCATGCTATCCAGTAGTCATATCAGTAGTTCCCAGCACAGTCTCTCCTTCAACACAACAATGCTTCCCACCCTCTATTCAACTACTATATTTTGTTCATTTTTTAGATTGAAGGCTAATTTAAAAGGCCACTGTCCTAAGCCAATATGCCTAAACCTGTCCCCAGCACAGACACCCTTCCTTGGATTATGCATCTACCCTGGACGTCCTCTCTTTGTCCGCCTGACAGATATACTAGAGAAGTTAAAAAATGCTGAGTCCAGGGCAGCTTATTATTTACGTCAATGCCCATTTCCAGTCAACTGTGCTGTCACCATACGCGGGACAATCGTATTTGGTGTCAAGTCCCCCCTTTTCCCTTCACCTCTCCACCAATTATGCTTAGTGTGGAGCACTAGGTGACATCTCTGCAATTACCCTATCAGGATGGGTAGACATGAGGTTAATTTGGGCAGAATAACCTATATTCTTGGTCCATAGTTTTGAAAAGATCATTGAGGGAAAACAGGGATTTTTCATCAGGCAGAAAACACAGTCTCTGCCCTCTTTCCCCTTCCCAGAGAGAAGCCTAACTCTACTCTCAGGCCACTCTCACATGATACACAGGTTTTGCCTCCCCAACCCCTCCTTGATGAGCATCCCATCACCAATGTCCTGCATGTGTCGTTCTTCTTTATTCAGGAGCTTTTGCAGACTTCCAAATACACATCATTCCAGCCTCAAGGTTAGTGTTTGAAGGACAGTTGCTGCTATTCAACTGCTCAGTAAAAGGGGTCCCAGGGCCCATCACACTTTCCTGGTACAAAAGGGACAAGTTGAATAATAAAACAAAGATCACTAAGTCCTCAGAGGCAGAATTCACGATCTCCAGGGTAAACGGCAGTGATGCGGGGGATTATTACTGTGAAGCCAGCAACAGTCGCCGCAGCTTCGTCAGCAAGGCAGTCACCATCACCATAAAAGGTACGTGTGGCCAGGCATCCTCCAGGAGTGGGTCCTGCAAACCGCACAGAGCTCCTTAGCGGGGAACCAAGAGAGTCGGGGGGAGGTGGATATTTTCAGTTACCAGTAACCCAATGTTCTGAATAAGCTACCAACCATTACTCAAAGACTAACAGGAAAAACTTAAGAATAGAAGAGGCTGAAGGCAGTGGGAACTCTCAGAAAGTCAAGTTGAAGAAAATACTCAGTGGTTAGAAATACACCTTTGGTAAACTACAAATCACTTCTCATTTGAAATGAAATGACTCCTTATAAAGGAAAACCAAAAGGGATGCAAGAACCAGTAATCTTGGGAGATACCTCCTAACAAACCTTACAGAAGCCCTCACTGCTGTGTCTTTAAACCCTGGCAGCACGTTCTTTTCCTACACCCAGGCTCCTACAGTGAGATAATGTGGTAAGAGCTTCACCAGGAGGCCATGAGAGTCCCTCCCTCCTTCTGACCCAACCTCCATCTATTGGTTTTATCATGAGACTGAAATCCTAAGGCCCCCAGACCTCAACACCTCTTCCTATTCACTGAACATTTGAAATATTATTCCTGTGCCCAGGCAATGGAGCAGGGAGAAGCTACCATCCATCAGAAGTAAGCAGCAGCCTTCAGAATGAGGTCACATTCTGGATCAGGTCCCATGCTCCAAAAGGCTAGAGCTCCCATCCACAGTGACTCCTTACCTCTCCCTGCTCACCTGTAAATAGAGAGGAAATTCCGGTTACCTGGGAGAAGGAAGGACCTAAGGAGAGCACCCTGGAAGAGCATGTAAATTCAGAAGGGAAAATCTCCTGGAGTGAAGCACTAATGACACCAGAGAATGCCAAGGACTCTCAAAATGCAGTAACACAAAGAGTTAATCTGGGAAAGGGTGTCAGTTCAGTGGTAGCAAAGCACAGACACCTCCCCTGGAGGCATCATTTCTGTAAAATGGAGGCCAGTCATCAAATAAGGAGCCAGGAGGGCCAAGGCCGGAGGATGGATGGGAAAGGAGCAGATGAACAACCAGCATGATTTTCTAGGGTTTTCATGACCCTCTTTCTAGAAGTCCATTAAGTAAATGGGCTTGCATTATGTAGTTTTCTAGACCTTTGTTGAATAGTAGTGGTAAGAGCGATGTCAGGTCCTAAAGAAACCCAGAATGCATGACTAACTGTGGTGCCTGTTAGCACACCAAAGTCTGTGTTGGCCTCCAGGATCTCTCAACAAGTATGGGCTGCAGAGTCCATCCTGGCTCTGCTCAATTCTCACCTGCCCCCTCCCCAAAACTTCTCCAGCCCATGGACTTCCCTTCCCCCAACTTCTCGTTCCTATAACCCTGCCATTTGGGCCATTCACCCTATTAGTTCTCTTGGTCCTCTCTTGCTCCTGGCCCCTGTTGCCCTCCTTGAATGACCCAGTTCACTCTGACAGCCCACAGTTTGCTACTTCCTCTTTGTATTCTTGGACTTTCCCACAGATCTCTGGCTGTACTATCCCCCATAACAAAAACAAAGAACAAACAAAAACCTTCTTTTCAAACATACCTTAGAGCAAGTGTCCTCATTTTATTCAGTACACAAATCCTGGTTGGTCATTCTCAAGGCCACTTGTTAACATCACAAAGGACTCACTGGAAGAACAAATTTGCTTCTATTTGTACTTGGATCTTTGTTCAGGAGAAAGTAAAAATCCAGTGGCTATGGTTGCTGTTTTTCAAAGCAATAAAACATACTGTGAAAACTCCTGGTTCTGATGTGCCAGCCTGTTTGTAGCACGGGGAAAGGGGCCAGGAGTCCTAGGTGAGTGAGAATTTGCTGCAAGGCTATCTTGAGAGTAAGGAAAAATAAGAAAGACCACATAGCCAACTCAGGGAAGAACTAGAAGATTTCTCACAATAGAATATATTTCTCAAAATAGAATTGTTGTTTTTTGTGAGGTTTTTGACACCCAGTAAGCTAGAAGTCTCCATTATTCTATTAAGTCCTCCAATTATCTTCTTCCTGCATTTCCCTGTCTCTGTTGCCCCTGGTGCTGAGTGCTTTGAACTCATTTTCCCCAACCTCATGATTTCTGCTTCATAAAGCTTCTGATAGCCCCAGAATCTACTGAGACTCCACCTCACTGAGTTCTTTATGTATTAGAGTCTCATCACTTTTAGGATTATGCTGGCTTTCCCTGTCACCTGGCAGGAAGAACCCAGACAGTACCCTCTCACTTTAAGAGACAAGCTCTGCCCACTCCCAATCTCAAACTTATTCTGGCCTACAGCTCTGTCCTCTCCTCTGTCTCTGTCTCTGTGTGTGCCTCTCTGTCTGTGTGTGTGTCTCTCTGTCTCTCTGTCTGTCTCTCTCTTTCTTTGTCTATGTGTCTCTCCTTCCTCCCCTACCATCCCAATATACTCTTCTTAAATAAACTCTACATTCAAGTTCTTTCTGCATCACATATTTGGTTTCCCTCCTGCATAACTCACCCGCCATAGAACATACCAAGGTCATGCGGAATCTTTCAGTCACTGTGATAAAGAATTGACCACAACCAGCTTGGGGAGGAAAAAGTTTGTTTCAGCTTCTAGTCCACAGTTCATCCTCCAGGGAAGCCAATGCAGAAGTTTGGCATAGAAGCCACAGAGGAGTGCTGCTTGCTGGCTTGTTCTCCACTGTTTGCTCAGCCGCTTATCCAGGCATGGTACCATCTACAGTGGACTAGGCTCTCCCACATCAATTATTAAGATCAGAACAATACTTCAGTTGGGGTTTTAATATTGCTAAGGCCAAAGGCAGATTATAAACCAGTGTGTATACTGTGATCTCATGTATGTGTTGGTGTGTTTATTTATGTGTTGATGTGAGTGTACTGACACAGAAGAAAGATACAAAAAAATCTAGCTGTGATAGTGCAGAGCTATAATCTCGGCACTTGGAGGACTACAAGCTAATGTTCAAGGCCTGCCTGGTATATCTAGTCAGACTCTATCTCATGGGAAAAGAAAAACAATGGAGGAGGGAAGAAAGAAAAGGAATGGAGGGAAAAGACATGAAATACTAAACAGATGTGAGCTCTAGAAAATGAAAACACATGACAAAAATTCTCATTGTTAATTTATTTTTTAATATATTGGGGCTTTATTTAAAAATAAAAGACACTAGTCTGAACTAACTCCCTCTCTCCCTTAGTTCCAGTGGCCCGCCCTGTCCTCACACTCAGGGTCCCTGGGGCCCAGAATGTGGTGGGTGACGTGCTAGAGCTTCACTGTGAGGCTCTGGGAGGCTCTCCTCCAATCCTGTATCACTTTTATTACCAAAATGTCACTCTGGGGAGCAGCTCAGCCCTTTCTGGAGGAAGAGGGTCCTTCAACTTTTCTGTGACTGCAGAACATTCTGGAAGCTTTTTCTGTGAGGCTGACAACGGCCAGGGGCCCCAACGCAGTGATACTCTGGCTCTGAGTGTTATAGGTAAGTTAACTCTTCAAACTAGCAGAACAGGGCAGATCATCTCTCTACCATGCCCAGGAGGCAAGATTGGGGTGTTTTTCACAGAAGTAGCTATTGTGTAATGTCATAGCAAGGCTTCTGCCTCCGCAGTCTCTTTGGATCTTACATATTGAAGAATTTGTACCTCTCCTCCATTAGCCTTCCCCTGCCTGATAGCATCACTCTTCATTCATCCTGACCAGAAATATCATCTACCAGAGGAAAAGGCTTATTCTGGTCAACAGTGTTAGGTGGAAAGGGAAGCCATGATGCTCAGTGTATTCTGTTAACTGTACTACTCCTTAAGAAGAATCTGTACCCATCATCTAGGTATCCTGGTATCCCTGGGTATCGCCTGGGTATCCCTGATGGTCCTAAACTGAAGACCTGCATGTGTTATATCCCACTCTTCTTGAAAGCTCCTCAACTGGACATCTCTGGAAGGGATATTCCACCCAGGGCTGGTCTTCTACAGGCTGTCTCTGCATATAAGACTCTTTCTTTCATCCAGATCCCCAGGGAAGAGTCCCAGGGATCTTCCCTGACACATCTCTCCCTCCCTCCTCACAGCAAGTCCTACTGATATTCCCTCCCAGATGTTCCTTAGATTTTTCTCTGTTTCTGCCTGCCATAAGATAGCCAAATTCACCATTAATTCAATGACTGAAGTGCCTCTCAGTGACCCATCTGCTCTACTCCTGCCCCACTTCAGGGCATTTCCATGCCTTTCCACTGTTTGATGAAGAGTCCTGGCTGAGTCCTAACTGAGTCTCTGGCCTCCTATTGTATCACACTCACTGGGCCGTTTGACTGTCCCACTACCTGTTGCAATAACTCAAATGGGCCGGCTTAGCTCCCATCCTCAGCCTCTGCACATACTGCCTGCCCCGTAACTTCTCCATCAAGTCCCTTCGCGCTAGATCTGGCCCTCTCTTCCACAGCAGGGCTTGGCTTTCCTGTCAAGCCCACTTCTTTTCCCAGCAGTCCTCTCATTTCTCAGATGCCCAGCTTTCAGCTGTGTCTTTATTTTCAGATTCCTCAAACTAGTTTGTGTTTTTGTGTTGTTACTTCAAAACACATACAACATTACACACACATTCTCATTTCCCAAGATTGGAATAAATTATAGATGAGTTTTGAGAAACCCGAAAAAGCCTCTAAAAAATAATATAAAACATTTTGCAGTCAAAAAGGCCTTCACTGTGGAGGGCTGTGTTCGGACAGAAGGAACCAAGGGCTGCTTTTCTCCCTCAGCTTCAGTGTTGTTGTCCCTTCCCACCCTAACCTCCAGGGTCTCTGGGGTTCAAGCTGTGGTAGGAGACATGGTAAAACTTCATGGTGAGACTTTGGAAGGTTTCCCCCTCTCCAATATTGTACCATTTTTATCACCCTGGGGAACACTCCAGCCCTCTCTGAAATAGGAAAGTCCTTCAACTTCTTCTGAATATGAAACACTTAGGGAACTACTTCTGTGAGGCTGGCGATAACCCGGGGTCCCAGCGCAGTGAGGCACGGTGACAGTCACTGTCACAGGAAAATTGGAACAATCAAACACTGGTCAGCACCCACTCCTTCCAGCAGCTGACCTCAGGGGCTATTTCCTGACTTGGGGTCTCAGTACACAG